CCCCATGTCGTTTTGCCCAGCGGAGAGGCCGAGCATGGGGCCCGCTTAGCCGGGGGGCTGAGGCAGCGTGGATTAAGGACAGAGTCAAACTTGATGTCGAGTCGGGAAGTCACGCGCCAGCCATGCTAGATGAGCTGCGCGCTCTCGCGCACGAGCTCACGGCGCGCAAGAATAGGTGCCGGCGCCGAAGGGGGGTCTCACCACTTGAGCTCGTGTTTGGAGGAAACCCCGACTCCCCCGCGATCTCCTCTCCGACGACCCCCGCGCCGATATTCCTGGATGGCATGACCTCGCGAGGTCACCTGCTGATCTAGACGAGGCGGGTGCAGGGTTCACCTGGGCGCAGGAGATGAGAGAAGCGGCGCGGAGGTTAGCTGTGGAGGCCACCTCGCTCACAAAGAAAGAAGATAAGCCGTCTTGGCGGCGGTGCGCGTCCGATTTTGGAAGTCCTTCGCAGAGCAGCTTAGACTGGCCAGTGCTGACGAGGAGGATGGTATACCGCTGGCCAACAGTCCCCAATGGCAGCCGCTGACGAGGCAGGCCGGAAGGCGTCGATCCACTGCGGTGGACGCGCAAAGAGAGGGCCCCCCCGACAGCGCATGGGATGATGCCGCCCGCAAAGGGGCCGGCCCATTCTCCCGGGGCGTCGGGGGTCGGGGCTGCCGAGCCGAGCGAGGAGGGAAAGCGCGCCGTCGAGACTAGAGGGTCTCTGCGCCAGGCCCATTGCCCCAGAGATTCGGGATGGCCGCCCCCCCCCCCCCCCCCCTGCCGCGGGCGGGCCCCGCGTCCGAGGGCGGCCCCTTGAGGGCCCGCCGCGGGGCGCGACGGGGCCGAGCCTCTTCCGGGCCGCCCGAATCTTTGAAGGCCCACCGACAGGGGAGAGAAATTGAAGGAACGAAGACCCCAATGAGTCCGAATATCCTTCTCCCCCTTCCCCCCCCCCTCTACCGCGCCGCGTCGTCGGATGGTCCGCTGCGGGCCGAACCGTCTCAGCCCCCCTCGGCTCCGCAGCCCGAAACGACTCAGACAGAGAAGACGGCCGCTATTCCACCGGCCCCGGGATGATAGGAGCAGCTCAGCGACGTTCCGTTATGCGTCAGAAGGTGACGCGCAGGGGATTTGGCTGAGGCGAGAGCCGCTTCCGGCTCTCCTGCGATCGAGAGAGCCAGGCTGGAGCCTCCACCTGGGCTTTCTCCTCCTCCGCCCCCCTTCTGGAGACTAGCCGGGGAGTATTGTTGTCGGCAGCGGGCCGCGACGCTCGGCGAGTGAGCTCGCGCGCGCCATCGAGAGGCCGTCAAGGGCGCGGAGCCGTTCCCCCCCAGGAAAAACGAGGATCGAGGCGTGACAGGAGAGGGAGACGACGGCTTGGACTTTCTGATGGCACCTGCGGGCCCCTGGGAGGGGCCTCCTGGCCAGGCCCAGGGGGGGGCGAGGGTCCCGGGCAGCAGGGCCGGGCCAGAGCGATGGTTTCGGACGAGAGCACTGTCGCCGCCAGCAGGGATGGAGAGGTCTCTCTCGAATATCTCAGCGCGGCTGAAAGGGTTCGGTGCGAAGTTGCCGACGACGAGGAGCGGCGGGCTATGCTCGCCGCCGGATCCGTGGAAGTCGCGAGCCCCGAGCAGGCGGAAGTTGCAGTCGGGCCGGATCATCTCCAGCCGCGTGGCCCGACGATGGAAGCCAGTGGACGGGGCCTTCAGAGAATCCGAGGAGAAGTCCCGGCGGTGCGTCCATGGCCGCCGTGATCCAACATCGGGTTCCCTCGCGGTATGTGCGCCCAATTCCCAGACAGTTAGTATAGTGCTCTCCCTTTAGGAAATCGTGGATCTCGGTCTGCTCGCGGGCGTAGCTGACGCGAAGAATGCCGTCTGTCAGAGCGACGCCATGCGTCGGAACCAGGGGGGGATTCGCGTCGAGCCGCTCGAGGGGATGCGTCTCGCCGCAGGGGCGCTGATTCGTTTGAAGGTGAATGTGTGCGGCTTGGGCGACGACGCACCAGTCGCCCGGGGAAAAACTGTTGGCGCCTCTTAAAAAGCATGGTTTTCCCGCTGGTGGATTCGCTGCGGTTCCAAAGGAGAGGTGCTGGGCGTGACCCATTAGAAGTGGGCGATTTCCTCATCGGAAGTTCCTCGCGCGTTACCCGCCAGCGGTCCAGGAGGGCCCTCGAAGTATGATTCCGCATCGGAAGAAAAACCGCGACTGTCAGGCCAGGACATTGGATATGGCCGGCAGAAGGATCATTTACAGGCCTAGGAGGGCCACAGTGGACATGGAGAATACACGCTCGAAGATATGCGCCCGCCGTCCGTTGCTAAGGGAAGGCGGTCCAAGAAAGACGGGCCCCATCGAACCCTGGGAGTCCATGGCCCTAAGATCCCATGTGCAAGTGCAAATGGGTGGGCGGGGGGGGGGGGCGACATCCGATGCTGCCGGGTTTGTCAGCGTTCTCGCTGGTAGACTCGAGTCTCTGACCACCGGGGGCATCACCCTAGCCAATAAGCTTCTTGGGCACCTGCGGGCCTCGGCCTCCAGAGGGCCGATTGCATGGGGCCTGGATCCTGAAAAGATGGCGTCCGCATCCTCTTTTCCGACGCAGGCGACGTCGGCTCCAAAGAGCAGTTGACCCTGGAAAAACGAGTTCTGGCGAACCCCGCCCGGGGGGCCTGGGTGGTGCTGGCGCGCGACGAAAGCGCGATCGACAATCGGTTGGCGCGTGCGTCCATCCTCGGAGGGAGGAGCTCCGAGTTGAGAAGGAAAGTGCCCTCCACCCTTGCCTGGGGCGCCCAATCCCTCTCCGCGGCCGTGGCCGAGATAGAATTTATTCCAAATCGCGTATACATACGTAGCCTTCAGATATGTGTAGGTGCGTGACCGCCACCGAGGATCAGGTCCCTGACCGTTGTTCTGAGGAGGAGCTGCAGTCTAGGGTCACGTGAATATCGCGCGCGCGTTGTAAATGCCAAATCTATTTACGACACGATGCTTAAGGACGGCAGTTCTGGAGACAAGAAAGAGTGTGTTCTACCGCTGCTGGCGGAAAACCGGGGGGGTCACTACCGGTTCGAACCCCCCCCCCTCCGGAAAACCGGGGGGGGTCACTACCGGTTCGAACCCCTCCCCCCCCCCCCCAGTTCATCATGAAAAGGGGGGGGTCACTACCGGTTCGAACCCCCCCCCCCTCGAAAACCGAGTGGGGGTGCGGACAGTGGTGGGGGCGGTGTTGGTGGGGACAGTGGTGAGGGGACAGCGGGACAGTGGTGGGGACAGTGGGACAGTGGGACAGTGGTGGGGACGGTAGTGGTGGGGACAGTGGTGGGGACAATGGTGGGAACAGGGGGGACAGTGGACAGTGGTGGGGACGGTGGTGGTGGGGACAGTGGTGGTGAGGACAGTGGGAATGAGGTGGAAACAGTGGGATAGTGGAGGGTACAATGGTGGTGGGGACAGTGGTAAAGGCGGTGGCGAGGACGGCGGTGGGACAATGGGACAGAGGTACAGTGGGGACAGTGGTGGGGACAGTGGGGACAGTGGTGGGAACAGTGGGACAGCTCAGTGGGACAGCAGCGAGTCAGTGGGACAGTGGGGACAGTGGGGATAGGCAGTGGTTGGGTCCGTGGAGACAGTGGGGAGAGTGGAACCGTGGTGGGAACAGTGGTGGGAACAGTGGGGACAGTGCGACAGTGGTGGGGGCACTGGTGTGGACAATAGGGACGGTGGTGGAACCAGTGGGGACAGTGGTGGTGAGGACAGTGGTGCTGGGAACAACAGTGGGGGATGTGATGCGAGCGGTGGTAGGGACCGGGAGTCGTTTGCTGGCGGTGCGTGGGGGGGGGGTCGAACCGGTAGTGACCCCCCTCCGGTTTTCGAGGGGGGGGGGGGTTCCAACCGGTAGTGACCCCCCTCCGGTTTTCCGGGGGGGGGGGGAGGGGTTCGAACCGGTAGTGACCCCCTCCCGGTTTTCGAGGGGGAGGGGGGTGGGGGGGGAGGGGTTAGGGGAGGGGGGGTTTTGCCGGGGGGAAGGGGGGGGGGGGTCCAGCAGGGGGGGGGGATTTTCGGAGGGGGGGGGGGAGACCCCCGGGCTCCGGAGGCAAAGGTTGGCAATTCTCCACAGTAAAGCGGCGGTGGGTCACGCTCTCTCGGAGACAAGGACCAGAGGGCTGCTTTAGATCTAGACGTGATATGCGAGGCTCTTGAAAGTGCTCGAGGAAAGGCCCTGTGGATTCCCCATGGCTGCATGCCCGTCGACGCCCTCGCCGAAGATGATGCGAGTAAGTGCCATCCCGCATTGTTCGATTCGATGACCGGTGGGAGGATCATGTTCGTAGACGAAGGAGCCGAGGTGGAGAGGCGCGGCGACCACAGTCTCAGGCGTCGCTCCTGAGCTGCTTCCAGAGAAGCTGATGTCATGGATAGAGTCCCAGAGGAATGTCCCAGGAGAGACTCGTGGCGATGGTGTGGTGGTTGTCGGCGGTCCTCCCTGTCTCTCTCTTCCCTTCCGGTGTTTCCCCCGAACTGTGCGATATTTGCCGTAGTCTCGTGCCTTCGCCTGTTTCATGAGAGCGAACTAGATAGTATGCAGCTGTGCTTGTTTTGCTTTGTTGTGCGTTTCGCGAGCTGCCGAGACTGTCGGCAACCTGTCGGTCTAGTCGCGCATGACGCGATGACCGGGCACATTTCAGGATACCCCAGTCTTTGTCGGTCGCCGTCCACAATGGGTACAGCTAAACCATTGAAATTCTTTGCATGTGGAAGGATAGCAGCTTCGCTGTCATAGGTTTAGCGTGTGGACGATCATTCCGTTTTCATGTTTGGCTCAAGAGCCAAAAAGCATATCGGAGGAAAATGGCCACATATTGTGATTTCCTGAGGCCCAATTTGGTTCAACATGTTTTGAACAAGTTTGATTTTCAGCCCTCAGACTTCGGTTCTCCTCCCCTCCTTTCATCCCTTCTCTTCCATTCTGCTCGTCCTCTCTGCCCTCTCGCCCCGACCGCCGCTCCGAGGACGCACGTCTTGCGCTTGCCGGGCCCTTGCTGGCAGCGCTCGCTGCCGTTATCCCTCGCGATGCCGAGGGCCTGCACGGCCTGTTTTTGGTGTGGGGGGGCCTGCAGGGAATGGGTCGCAGGATCGGGTCGGAGGAGGACAGACAGGAGGAGGAGAAGGAAGAGGAGGAGGAGGAGGAGCAGGAGGAGGAGGAGGAGGAGGAGGAGGTAGATTGCGAGGAGGATGTGGAGGAGGACCAATGTGAACCCAGGAGTCATCAACGATGTTGGAATTCACCCTCCCTCCAAACTCCGTCTTCGTAGGTCCTCACAACGGTTCCTTTCCATTGAGGGAACTGCCTCGCTGGAAGACAATCGGTTAAAGACCTTGACGCATGCCAAAACAGTGTTCTCGGGATCTCCACGCCACGGATCAACCTGACAGCTGCGTCCTGACGTTTTGGAATCGTGCCCGTACGCCATTTTCAGAAGTCAGCGCCGCGAACCAACATAACTGTTGCACCCGCGTAACCTTAAATCCTTCCAACACGCCGTTTCTGGTACGTTGACCATGGGGATCCGTGAAATTCTTGCAGTGTTTTGAAACGAATGTGCGCGGCGCTAAGGCGAGAACCATATTTTGAAAAGGAACCGCCCTCAATTTGTGAACTCCTTACGAATTTGAAAACGAATGGCGAGAGCCACATTATGAAAACGATGCGCCTCCGTGAAACTCCTGCAGATTTTTAAAACGAATGTTCGCGGCGCCCAGGCGACAGCCACATTTTGAAAACGACCCGCAGTCAATCCGCGAAAATCTTGTATTGTGATTATAACGTATGTGCTGCGAAAGCCAAATTTTCAAAACGATCCGCTTCAATCCGTGAAGCTCTTGCAGATGTGTAAAGCGAATGTGCGCGGCGCCTCGGCGACAATCGCATTTTGAAAACCACCCGGTCTCCATCTGCGAAACTGTTGCCATCTTGTATGTTCCAAAGTCATAAATGGTGGGGAGGTCTCAGGCGAAACACCAGGCCCGCCCTAAAAATGGCTTCGGAGTGCGACAAGAAGAGGTTATACATAAGGAATAGGAATGGAGGAGGAGGAGGAGTAGGAGGAGGAGGAGAAGGAGGAGGAAGAGTAGGAGGAGGAGGAGGAAAACATTCAGGAGGATGGGGTTGGACGAACGCGGGGGGTATACGGTAGGCTCAAGGTTGAAAGATCAGCATGGAACGGTCTGGCGATCGGACCGGGCTTGTCTTCGGCATCACCTGAGCATGCTTTCATTATGCGGGCGTCGCGCCCACAAGGGCGATGCGCTCGTTCAAACGTCTCAGTCATAGTATACGCTCGGTGGCGGGCGCTTTCTGGCCATCACATGTTGACACTGTATTCCTGGCTCGGAGTCGCTCGTCCAGGGGGGCGCATCCAACGGTAGGTCCTCCTGCGCCGCACGTCACGACACCAGCCCGTCATAAGCAAAGTGTGTGTGTGTATGTGTGTGTGTGTGTGTGTGTGTGCGTGTGTGGGAGGATGTGGTCGTGCACTGCTGTACCTCTACGTCGCCGGCTATATCGTCAGCCATGCACTCGCCCCGCCCGTCGCTGCGGGCCGCCGACCCCTCCCTTGGGGAGTCCAGCGTTTCCTGCTCGCGTTCACCTTCATTCACCAGCTCGTCTGGCGTGCTGTCCCCGGCTCCCCCGCCAGCTGGCAGCCTGCCGCCGCTGACCCCCCCCCCCCCGGCGCCGCCCCAGCCACGCGCCTGGCCCTGCTGTGAGCGGGCCTGGCTTCTCCCCCTCCCTCCCGCCGTCGTGAGGCGCCTCCTCCCCCTCCCCTTGCATGGTGGCCTAATTTGCGTACCGTTCGCCACCCCACGCCTCTTCCGCCAGCGCCGTCACTCTGCCTAGCCGCCGACGCAAAAAGTGCAAGTGTGTATGTGTGTGATGAGGGGGTGCGACATCTGCGGCGTGTAGCTGGTCTCGGCTCCGCGGGGCACTTCTTTTCCTCGCGGCCGTGGCCGCTTCCAGTGCCCCCCAGAGGGCGCCGCCAGAGCTGGCGGCAGGCAGCTGCTTCGTTGATCCCCCTTTTCCCATTCCTCGAGGAACAAAAAGCGGCAGATGAGGAGGAGGAGGAGGAGGAGGAGGAGGAGGAGGAGGACATACTTTCTCAGAGGTCCTCGCTGATTTCTTGGATCGGCGCTTGGCCTGCCTGGCGGCGCCTCTGGTGCCGCCCCTTGCGCTTTCCCATCGCCTGTGAGGGGGACCCAGCGCCGACGCAAGGAATCCGCGTGGACCTCCGGGAAACTATGCTTATGCATGTTTTATTATGTAATCCCCCCTTGCTATCCCACACTTTCGTCCAGAGAAGACGGAGCATCAGAGGGAGAGGAGGGAGCATCTTCGGTAAAGCCGCAGCGCTTAAGTCAGCGGCGACAGGAGGAGGGGAAGGAGGAGAAGAAGGAGGCAATTCACCCAGTACTAATTACTTCATCGCTCACAACTTGATCCCACATGGTGGGATCCTCTGGGGTGGTGTGTGGGCCTGTGACTATGGGGAGGGAGCCCTTGAAGTATGGGATCCCTGTGGAGAACCGCGTGGAACCACCGCTGACTTCCCGAATTCTACCTAGCATCTTTTCGGGGTGGGAGCCTGCCGTGTGGCATCCCACGGTGAGAAGCGTCGGGAGGTGCTGGCAGCGTCCAGATCTCCCCTCGAACAGGGCCAGCTCGTTGAGAGCAGCAGGAGGAGCCCCTCAGGTGCAAGCGCAGGCTTGGCAGGAGAGCTGTGGCTCCGCGAGGCTTCCGGTACAAAAAAGCAGCCCGCGGCGCGCAGAGGCGGTTGAGGCGAGGGGGGCTGGGGCCTCCAGTGAAGGTATGGGGGGGGGCCTCTGGGAAAGAAGGGGTCGCCTCCCCTCGCGCCCCCCCGGCCTGGCCGACTGCTGCCGCCTCGGTCGGCCGCGAGCGCGGGGTCTCCTTCGGCCCCCTGGGCGCCGCATTGGATCGGGGGTTCGCAGAGAAGTGGTTCTCCCAAGGTAGTTGGGGATCGAACCTTCCTGGACGCTCGCATTTCTTTCTTCGAGGGTTCCGTATATTGAAGAGGAAGAGACGGCATAGACATAAACTTTGCGTGGAGCTCCGTGCGGATTCTTTGGATAGGCGCTGGGCCACCCTGGCGGCGCCTCCTGCGCCGCCCCTGGCGCGCTTCGCATGCCAGGGAGGGGGTCCAGCGCCGATCCAAGAAATCCGTGCGGAGCTCCGGACGTTCATGTTTATGCCGTTGTTTGTTCTTCTGGCAGGGGGGGGTTAGGGGGGTTATGCTAAGGTGCGGTTGAGAACGACCCCCGATGGACGCTCACATCTCCCTCTCCCAGGGGCCGTGTAGAGCGCTCCAGCCCCCCATCTGTGGCCCTGCCCCACCTGTTTTACGCCCCCCCCGATGGAAGCGCTTGAGGAGGCACTGGGGATCAAGGTGAGCCAAACTGCTCACAGAGAGCACCGTGCAGCCAGTTAGTGAGATCGTCGGCACGATGAGGTGGAGGAGGATACAGAGGAGGACGCGGCGGGCACGGGGCAGGATCGGGAGCACGAGAGATGGAGAGGAAGGCGCAGGGCGTTCAGTTCGGACAGCCACGCCTGGACACTGCAAGCACTGCGACGGGACGCCCATCTCGGTCCTGGAGTACGGAATACGGTTCGGACGAGGAGACCAGAAGAAGCAGGCCGTGCCCAGGTGGTATCCGACAGTCTGCGGGGCCAGACTGGGCTGCCTCTGCTTGTGCTTGCAGGTGGGGGACTCTTGAACTCGCTTGCGTGGGCAGGGTCGCGCCTGGTGGTCTCTACCTGCTAGCGCGCATCACTCGGCTGTTGCAAAGTATCCGGGGCCTGCTGGTGCCCGATGCTGTGGCCCCCCCCCCGCGACGGGCCCGAGGAGGAGCGCAGAGCGAACATAAGCATACGCTTGCGGAGATGCGCGCGGATTTCTTGGATCGGCGCTGGACCCCTTCCTTGGGCGCGGAGCGCTCTAGAGGCATCGCCGGAGGCGCCGCCAGGGGGCCCAGCGCCGATCCAAGGAATCCGATCTACGGTACCCTGGAGGAAAGAAGTGCGAGCGTCCGGTCGGGTTCGTTCCCCAACCCCACCGTGGGGAGGACTCCCTCTCTACGAGCCCTCGATCCGGTGTGGTGGCGCCCAGGGGTCCGAAGGAGACGCGTCTGAGACCCCGCGCTCGCGGGGCCGTCCGTGGAGCGCTCCTGGGGCGCGCCGGGGGCGTCGCCAGGGTGGTCCCAGCGGCGGTCCAAGAAGTCTGCGCGGATCTCCGAGCGTTTCTGTTCATGTGTAGTTGTCCATTTTCTTGGCATCACTCCGACGTGTGCGTTTTTTCCGAGGGTGAGGATCATCGAGGAGCATCCTGGATCGTCTGGCAACAAAGAAGCACGCAAGAAATCGAAGAGTACACCGGGAATGGAGTCCGAGCGATGGGAGCCCTCCTCGGGGTCTGACAACCCGCACCCAGATCCATGGCACCTTCATCTCCGTATCCTTCCCCATTCCATGTCCCCATAGGTTTTGAGTATGTCTTGTTTCATCAAGCGCGGGGGCAGGGGGCGGCGAGGGCGGATGCAGGCGCGGCCTGCTCTGGGCGAGTGCGGGGTTGCAACAGGTGTGCACCCTGCTCCTGCTCAGCGCCGTGCTGTTTGCGGCCGAGTGCGCGCAGGCGCCCCCCCCCTGGCCCGTGATACATGTGTGTGTATATATATATATATATATATATATATATCCATATGTCAGCAATCGTGGACCCCAAACAGTGAATTTCTGGCAACACGTGTGGTGCAATCTAGGTGGGGCAAATGTTGTGCAATCTAGGTGGAGCCATTTACGTCTTGCAACCTGCGTGGTGCAATATGGTGTGCACTGTCTCATGGCCTTCGGCCCATCCCGCCACCGGGCCTGGGTTGTTGGTCAGAGTCCGCCGGGATGCTTGGCGGGTCTCTTCGGGGCGCTCTCGGGGGCCCCTGGGGGTAGCTTTGGGGCCTCTTGCCGCCTGTCAGCTGCTGTCTTTGGGGCCAAGGGTGGGGCCGTGGGCCCCGCCCGTACCGCCCTCTTTCTGCTTATCTGGTTGTTGTCTTAACCATAGTGTGTGTGTATATATATATACACACATCGGAGGTTGGGGGGTGAGATCGCAGTGGAACGGAGACCCCCCATCCGGGAAATCGGTTTCGGTTTTGTGTTCGTGTCGTGCGTGCGGGCGAAGCTGCGCGTGATCCTCCTGTAGCTGGGCCGAAGTAGGAGCGAAAGTCCGTTGCCCAGCAGCCGGTGGCCGGTTGGGCCAGGCGGTGTCCCAGGGTGTCCCGGGTGTCAGTAGGAGCGAAAGTCCGTTTCCCGTCCGCCGGTGGCCAGGAGGTGTCCCAGTTTGACTGGGCGGTGTCCCGGGTGTCCCGGGTGTCCCGGGCGTCCCGGCGCTAACGCATGTCGCTAATGTCATAATTAGGTTTGTTCGGCGCTTGCGGCGGGCTTTCTTATCCAATTCAGCTGATTGTATCAAATCCATCTTGTCCAATCTATTCCATCTTATTGTATCCAACCCATCTTGTCCCATCTTCTACTATCCCACCCGATCCAATCCACCCAACCCAATCCATCAATGTATTTGTTTCTGCGCCTGCGGTGGGCCAATCCATTCCATATTATCTTATCTAATACATTTATTCCAATCCAACCCATCTTATCCAATTTATCTCATCCCATCCAATCCAATCCACCCAATCCAATCTATCAATTCACTTTTGTCGGCGCCTGCGGCGGGCTTTCTTATCCAATCCAGCGTATCTCAACCCATCTTGTCCCATCTTATCTTATCCACCCAATCCAATACATCCAATCCAATCCATCAATTGGCGATCAGAGGGCGAGACAGAGAGAGAGAGGGTGAGAGAGAGAGAGAGACACAGAGATAGAGAGAGAGAGAGAGACAGAGAGAAAGAGAGAGATGAGATCAAGGTGACAGGCTGGAGGTCAGTCAGGGTGGGCATTTGATCGCAATCCCCCCCAATCTCCTTATCGCCCGCAGGGCGGTCGTATAAGTATGTGTATGTCTGTCTGTCTGTCTGTCTGTCTGTCTGTATGCATGTATGCATGTATGCATGTATGTATGCATGTATGTCTGTATGTCTGTCTGTCTGTCTGTCTGTCTGTATGTATGTATGTATGTATGTATGCATGTACGTATGTATGTGTGCATGTATGTATGTATGTATGTATGTATGTATGTATGTATATATATGTATATATGTATGTGTGTGCGTATGTATGTATGTATGCATGCGTGCGTGCGTGCATGCATGCATGCATGCATGCATGCATGCATGAATGTGTGTATGTACGTATGTATGTATGTATGTATGTATGTATGTATGTATGTATGCGTGCGTGCATGCATGCATGCATGCATGCATGTATGTATGTTTGTTTGTATGTATGTATGTATGCATGTATGTATGTATGTATACCTGTGTGTGTATGTATGTACGTATGTATGTATGTATGTGTGTATGTATGCATATCTGTATATATGTAGGTATATATATGCATGTATGTATGTATGTATGTATGTATGTATGTATGTATGTATGTATGTATGTTTGTATGTATGTATAGATGTATGTATATATTTATGTATGTATGTATATACGTATGTATGTATGTATGGATGCATGCATCTGTGTGTGTATGTATGTATGTAGGTATACAGGCATGCATGTATGCATGTATGTATGCATGTATGTATGTATGTGTGTATGTATGTATGCATGTATGTATGTATGTACGTATGTATGGTATGTATGTATGTATGTATGTATGTATGTATGTATGTATGTATGTATGTATGTATGTATGTATGTATGTGTGTGTGTATTTACGTATGTATGTATGTCTGTCTGTCTGTCTGTCTGTCTGTCTGTCTGTCTGTCTGTCTGTCTGTCTGTATGTATGTATGTATGCATGTATGTATGTATGTATGTATGTATGTATGTATGTATGTATGTGTGTGTATGTGTGTGTATGTGTGTATGTGTGTTTTGTGTACTTTGCCTGTTGCTGCGGCACCGCTGCGCCCCCTGCCTCCGTGGGCCAGGACCGGCCTCAGAGCTTCGGTGTCTGGCCCATTAAAAGAGTCGGGTGTTGGTTGGAGGGCCCCCCCTGGCCCAAGGTGCCCCCGGCTCCCACCCCTTCAGAGCACCCCTCACGAGGCCCACAGGGCCCCAGCGGCTCCAGAATTCAACGAAAAGCTGGGAAAGAGGAGGAAAGGGCGCGGGAGCTAACGAGGCGACGTGGCGGCGGGCGTGTCCATCACGGGTCAGGCTCGAGGACTGGAATCGGAGAAATAGAATGAGCAGCATAAGCATGCAATCTCGTGGGCCCGCGCAGGCTTCTCTGGACCCCTCTGGTGGCGCGGCGCGCTCCGCGCGCCAGGGAGGGGGCCCACCGCCGATCCCAGTTTACATGTATGCAGCTCTCTCTTCATCTAGAAGGCGCGGCACCGCCACCTGCCCCCCCAGAGTGATATCACCAGTCATGCGCCTGACAGAAGTTCCACAATCGGTCCAGCTCGTTCTGGCCAAGCCTGGTTCAGCGCATCCCTTCCCCTGGGTCCTTGCCCCACGCCAGAGGGTCAGAAGTCCGCTCGGTGTGTATGTGTGTGTGTGTGTGTGTGTCAGGTGGTGGTGGGACTTGCTTTGTTGTACCGTTTTCGCGAGGCATCCTCGCGCTCGGGTCTCGAGACTCTGGGCCAGCTCTGGGGAGTTCCAGGGCCGATTCCCTTGGGCCCAATGTGCAGCGATCTACCAGGCTCGCACTGCAGGTCGAAAAACAGGTGCCATGTAAAGATCAGATGTGCGTATTGTTCTGTTCGATTTCCCTAAAGGGGGGGACGTGTGGTGGTGGTGGTGCTCTTTTGCTCCCCTACTGGGACGTCAGTTCCAACGGTGCGAAATTGTCTTTTTGGAGGCTACCGCAGAGGCTGTTGTCGTTCTTCTCCTCCGCATTCTCCTCCATCGCTTTTCCTTTCATGTAACTCCCCCTGTCGCATCACCAGACGTATGGTTCAGGCGGCCCAGGCGTTTCGCCTGAGACTTCTTCACCGTTTGCGATTCTGACACTTGAATTACCAGCAGCTGCACGAGAGGATGGCTGGCCGTGTTCAACACGGGGCTCTTGCTTTGGCGACGCGCACTCGCCTTCAGCATTTCCAGCAGTTGCTCGGCTGGAAGGCGAGTCGTGTTCAACTTGGGGCTCTCGCACTGTTGCCGCGCACAGTCGTTTTCAAACGATGAGATGTAAGGCGAATCGTTTTCAGAAGTGTTTTTTGATTGATACTGAAATGTTTGTCAGACTGGGATTGCCGCCCGATTCGTAAACATTCATGCGCACTCGTATCACGTGTGCAACAGTTGCACGCGATGGGGTGGAATCTTGTTCCAATGTATGACTTGCTCGGGCCTTTGTTTACTCACTACTGAACAAGCCACTCCAACCCAACCCGAAGTCCCTAGACCATTCCAAATTTCGGGTTTGGGGGTGTACGGTTTCCATCGTGTTTCCTCAATGTTCTGGAGTGCCACGCCCGCTGGAAACCAACGAGCCCAACGGTGTCGTTGGGTTGGGGTGGGATGGCTTGGTAGGTAATCAGTTTCTTACGTGTGTGTGTGTGAAAACGCGCGATAATGACACGGAGGGAGGACAGGCTCCCTTTAAAGTTGGTTTGTCGTTGGGCCGTTCTTGGAAGTTGCTGGCCCAGCCTTGCCGCAGCCTGTCCACCTCGAAGGATGGAGGGTGGTGTCTCCCAAAAACGAGCCCCCTCTGCATTGCGGGCTCACCGGGCCTTCGTGTTTCAACAGGGGTGACTCGCGCAGTGAGAAGGACGGCTTGCAGGGGCTACGCTCAGGAGGCGACTTGGGTCGGGAGGATGACTGGCAGCATCGCTGAGGCATCATGGGCTTGTTCTCCTCCTCTTCTCCGATCCTTCTGCTTCGTCGTTCTCGTCCCCGCCGCCGCGCCGCCTGCCCCCTGCATCCCTCTCCCTCCGTCCCGTCCCCCGTCCCGCCGCCCGCCGCCGCCGTCGCCGTCGCCGTCCCCATCGTCGTCGTCGTCGTCGTCGTCGTCGTCGCCGTCGCCGTCGCCGTCGCCGTCGCCGTCGTCGTCGTGTGGCCTCTTTGCTGGCGCCCCCCCCTGGCGGCCCGCCAGAGGTGCACGTGCCATTCCTGTCCCGCGCCGCGCGGCTGGTCCTGGACCGCACCGAGGACCCATCCCTCTTTCGGGGGGTACATCGAGACTGCCTCTTTGTTACAGACGGCCTGGATTAGTAGCCCGACTTTGCCAAGTCAAGGGTGCCTTAGAGTCCTGTGTCTCGCGACCCATGCCTCCTACATTCCTGTGGCAATGTGGCCCTCGGGAGGCTCTTGTGTCCTCTTGCGTGTCCTGTCCAATCAAGTCCGATTGTAATTACCATGACAAAGGAGCCCAGCGGCAAGGTGAGGACATGATCAACGACGATGACGAGAGGGAGGGGGGAATGGGAAACACAGGGCGATCGCGCCGCCGCCCCCTGGAGCGGGTCTCCCCTGGCGAGACGGCCACGGACATCATTGTCGAGGTCTCTTGGGCGGGGCGGTGCGGGGAAGACCCTGGAGGCAGTCCTGCCCCGAGGAGCGCTCCACCAGCTGCGCCTCGCCGAGGGCGTCCTGAGGGTGCCGGAAGCGTCCCGAACGCCCGCTGGAGACCGGAGCCGTGACCCGAAAGACAGTCAGCGAGGATCACCAGGCGTGTCGGCGATTCTCTCGGTTCGGTCGGTTCGGCCGCGTCGTGGACGGTTGTGTTCGGTCGGATCAGTTCGGCCGACTGCCTTGTCGCTGCCGCGCCGCCTGCGCCCTTGCAGGCTGCTCGGGCGGTTTCTCTTTCGCTGCAGTTTCGGTCGGTATTCGGTTTTGCTGTCGCCGTAGACGGCCTTGATGTCCGCGATGAGCTCGACCGACCGACAATCTCTTCCTCCCTCCTCCCTCTCTGCATCCACTCAATATGAAAGCCACCCTCCTCTCTCCCCAAACTACGGACCACGTGCTGCAAGCTCTACATCTACTCAATATAATTATCCCAGTGCGACCCTACCTAGGAGTTGGAGCATTTAGGAAAGCAACATCTACATCTACACCGACAGCTACGTTTACATCTACAGCTGCATCTACATCTACATCAACATCAACATCGAGACTCACATCTACATCTAGGCATATGCTATGCCATGCTATACTATCATGTACGTACGTGTGTATGATATGCTATGCTATGCTATGCTATGGGTATGACATGCTGTGCTGTGCTATGCTATGCTGTGCTGTGCTGTGCTATGCTAAGCAATCCTATGCTGTGCGATGATATGTTATGCTGCGCTGTGCTATGCTGTGCTATGCTATGCTAAACAATGCTATGCTATGCTATGTTACGCTATGCTGCGCTATGCTATGCTATGCTATGCTATGCTATGATGACCTATGCTATGCTATTATATGCTATGCTATGCTACGCGTTGCTATGCTATGCTATGCTGAGCTAATGCTGCGCTGCGCTATGCTGCCCTAGGCTGAGCTAAGGTAAGGTAAGGTAAGCTAAGTTAAGCGAAGCGAAGCGACGCTAAGCTAGGCTAGGCTAAGCTAAGCTAAGCCAAGCCAAGCCAAGCCAAGCTAAGCTAAGCTGAGATGAGAAAGGCTAAGCTAAGCTTAGCTAAACGAAGCGAAGCTAAGCTAGGCTAAGCTCGGCGAGGCTAGGCAAAGCTAAGCTATGCTAAGCTAAGCTAAGATGAGA